TTGATCTTCCTCCTTAAAGTGACCACTTCTCATTAACCTCACCAACCTATCAGTTGGCATGTAAGCCATGCCCCTCCAGCTGCTCCTATTTCCTCCCTATCCCTTATATTCAGTGACTATTGCTCTGTAACGACAGGATTATGGATTCCCATTCATAATGAGTTTTACGCTCAAGGCAACTTCGTAGAAATTAGCTCATTCCTTCTTCATGGACCCATTAAAGTTGGGTAAAGGTAGCAATCCATGCACCCATCAGACAGATGAGAAAACAGAGGCACAGAGACACGAAGCAGTTTGCCTCATTAACAATCAGCAAGTCCAAATCGGAATTGAGATTCTTCCCACTGCAGCCTAGCTGGAGAGGCACAGACAGACAGGTCCTAATTCGGCAGGCCACATCATAAACATCCATTCCCCAACCCTCAACCTTATCAGGTACCTGGTCATTTTAGCCAAATAAGCTCCATCAGATTGGGTTCCCAGATAAAATACAGGAAGCCCATTTAAATTTGAATTTCAGATAAATAATTTTTTTTTTTTTTTTTTTTTTTTTTTTTTAGTATAAGCAGGACCTAAATAGTGCACGGGACATACTTATACTAAAAAATCATCCACTGCTTAGCTGGATGTCCTGTGGTTTTATTTGCTAAATGTGACAAGCTGTATCAGATGTTCTCCCAGTAGACCAGATAAGGGGTGTAAGTTGCAATTTCTTTGCAAAGTCAGACTTTTCTTACACGGATCCCCAAACACTGCTATTCAGCACAGAGTGTAGTGTAACTCTAATGTTTGATACTAGGGTAGGGTTTGATGTCATTTGCTATTGTAACTAGGATCCAGCCTTACCCTATTATTCATCCCTCTTTCTAAGAGCTTCCTGGAAGGTCTGTTCATGCAAGGAATAATGGTAAAATGGGACTCAGGGTGCCATTTTATCAGAGGCAGAGCAGTGGCTTTTCCCATTGGGAAATAATGCCCATTGATCTTGGACTCCGAGCAATCAGATTAGCAGTCTGGCTGCCCTGGGAACAGAGGGGGCTGCCGAAGAAGGGACAGGCAGAGGGAGCTGAACCAGAAAGAAGGAGAGAGCATGACTGGCTATTAACTTTCGATACTGTCTCTAGTCCAGTTTGAAGGAACCCAGTCAGTTGTCTCTTCTGGAACACAGAACTGAGAATATGTAAATTTGGAATCTGTGAGGTAAACCAAAGTGGGTCATAAAATCAGGGAGAAAGCTAGGCTACGAAAGGAGGCGGAGAAAGCCGGTGTGCAAGGAGGAGTAGAAAAAAGGGCCTGTCATTCTCTTGGCTCCTCCCCCAGTTCTAGCTCCTGCTGCCCGGCTAGCTGCATTTCCTTTTCCAAAAACTTCAGCTAAGTTTCCCCTCTGTGCCTGAGCTAGCTTGGGTGGGTTTCTGTTACTTATACCCACTCTGTCACTTACTTCCTTAACTAAGAGGAAAACAACCAAATAAAGAAGCAAGGTCCCAGTTCAGTTCAGTTCATTGCAATTTATTTAATTTAAAAATAAAAACGGAAACAAAACAAAACCAAAAAAACGAAACAAAACAAAAAACAAAACAAAAGTCAGTTTCCAATGAAAATACAAACACTTTGGGTGGTTATCCAGCTTTTTCCCCCCTGTAGGCTGTTCTGGGCTCAAACCAATCAAATGAACAAAAACCAATTTTGACTGGAGCCATAAAGCATGTTGCACCAATTAAATTACACCAATATATTATTATAATACCTTTGAAATGTCTTTCAGACCAATAAATAAAAAAAAGACAAATTCAAATAAAAAAGTCAACTTTTTATTACCAAAACAAAAAAAAAAATAGAAATTAAATAAAAGTCACAACACGGATTTAAAAAAAAAAAATGTGCAGTCAAGTTTTTTTCTCTCTCTCTCTTTTTTTCTTCTAGGAATGATACCATGCCAGTAAATCCCTACAGAACATTTCCAGTTTGGCAATAAGCAGTCAGTTGATCATTCACATTTGTACTCAAGACAGCAGGCCAGGGCGACACTCCCCTGAATTTCCCCCTGGAAAGTGCTCCCCATCATCTGAAGAAGCAGCACCTTATAACAGGGATGGAAAGTGAGGGAGCACTTAGCATTTTCATTTCGCCTAGGGTCTTGAAGCACTTCCTGAAAACTGATCATGCCTTAAAATTTACCTGTAAAAAGAAGTATAATTCTACTCCTTTGGCAGATGTGTAAACTAAGACACAGAAAGGCCCACAGAGGCCAGGAAAGGACCAGGAGAGCTTACATGGAATCTCCTGCTTGGTCCACCAGGTCATAAAAGTGTCTCTCACTTGTAATTCCATGGAAATGAATTAAGCATGACTTCCTTGGTTGGGGATTGGCTGGTAGGGATGATAGCACTTAATCAGGAAGCAGGGAGCTACATGTCAGGGCTTTTCTCTCTAGACCAGGTTTTTCCTTGAAAGGACAGAGTCAACACAGTATGGAGAATCAGAGGATGTTAGCAGAATGTCAGAAGCAGGCAGGGGGCCTGAGAGATGGGCTAGTCCTCCCTCCCCCCTCCTCCCCCCACCAGCCCTCATTAAAGGGAAAACTTAGCTTCCCAAACACTGCAGGTGCCTCAGGCCACCAGCTAGTTAGCAGCACACCAGGACTCAACTCAGATCCTCGGCCTCTGAGTGGAGGACTGTCTTTGCCACAATCCACTGTCTGGGTTGGTGGACAAAAGAGAACATGCATGTGTGGGGTTTTGGGGGTGGGGGAAGGGGAGAAATAGAATGATTTTCCTTAATAGTGTCATTTTAGAAGGATGGAAAATACTAAACAGACACAATCACTTGGCAAAAGGAAAAAACATATCACCCAGTAGATAGGTGTTATACCTTAGGCATAATGACAGCTACCAACTTGGCCAGTTGCCACACATGCGGGACCAGCAGTGTGGCAATACAGGCTGTCCAGAACAGATTACATAAAATGAGACAAGGAATGGGGAGCTCGGAGGCTGCAGGATGCCCTCCACACACCCACACTTCCCACACACACAATTTGCTATCTACAGATTTTTTTTTTCCCTTTGAACCTATATTGGAGCTCAGGAAGGAGGTGCAATTGAAAGAAAGAAAATGGAGAAGCTTCCCATAACACACCACTCAGCTCGACCTGAAGGCATGCACAAAGCCACAACCCCAGGGCTGGTGACAAGGGGGAGAAACGGAGCCATCTCCTTAGGAAAAGGGCAGTTTCACTCCAATGAATGTTCTCAGCGCCTGACGGCGAATTCTTTCACATCTCCCTATAACTGTTCGTTGTCTGTTGGTTTTCCCAAAAATAACCCCCCTCCAAGACTAGTCCTCCTTATATATCTTTGCGGGTCGCAGCGGTCGACCATCTTGAAACAAGGCTTTCAATTTGCCCAGGCCAGTAGGATCTGAAGTCATCCCAGATTCCCCAATGAGATCATTAATTCCAAACCCAGTATCTGAAGATATCCCATTGTGGGACTGACATCTTATCACCTGTAATCTGGGTGTCGAGAAGTTGAATACCTAGTTATGTTACTTTTTATGATAAGAGTCCTGCTATACCTCTTTCCTGCCTCCTCCAGAACCATCTGGATGGCTTCTTGGGAAATGTTCCCTCCCAACCCACTGTGCTCTTTCAACACCTTACTCATTTGAATGGGTGGAACTTTCTTTTCCCCCAGAGTCTAGGACTTCAAACCCATGACAGAATCCCTAGATATGAGGGGAGGACCTTATGCCTACCTTTCCTTTCCCCATCCAAATAACCCACCTACACACTAACTCCCTAGAAGCAAACTCGCCTGCCTCTGCGGATTCTACCCTTGGTGGACGGGGAAACCGTTTGCTATTAGTAAACAGGGTCAGTGGTTGAGCCAGTTACTCCTTGGAGACTGTGGACAGCGTCACATCTGATTCAAGCGGGTGAGAACCCAAGAGACGGCATTCCAGTTAATAGTGAGATGTTAAAGAAATCGACAAGTTGCCCCCTTGCTGGTGTGGATCAATTTCCATTCATCTGCACGAAGACCACAGAGGGTCCCGAGCTCTGTTACACACCAGAGTTTTGACCTCTGACACCACCATTCTCTTCCCTGTCCATCCTCGGGAGGTTGTGCTGAAGAGCAAGGCAGACATCAGGAAAGAAGTGGGAGACAGCAAACAGCCCAAAAATCACCACGGGCTGACTCTTTTAAGTCCTTAGCGGTGTTCAGAGCATTCTCTCTCTGCCCGAGACCCTGTCTTCCATCCCAGGTAGAGTGGCAAATTAACAAAGGCCACACGAGCGGCATGAAAGACAAGCATAGATCCCACAGGATGCCTCAACCCAACACTTTCGGGGCTTAGCCATGTCAAGGATGGCCACCGCATGGCATGAGGGCTACTGCCCCCCTTCCCTTTCCCAAGGCAGCCACTGCTATTCAGTCACAGCACTCCCTCCCATGCGCCTAGGCTACTCACACCAGCACACCCAGGAGCCGCTATCAGTCGATCACCCATTCAAGTTCAGGTGGCTGAAATCTACTTGCCAACCCCACGCAGTCAGACCAAGCCTGCTCATGTGAGGGGGGAAGCAGCAGGTTCTGAGCTCATCCAAGGCAGACGGCCCCAGTCTCTCTTGCCCTTCCTCCAGAAGCATTTGGACAAGTTTTAGGGATGTGTTCCCTCTCCCATATGCTTCCTCCCCACCCTCTTCATGCTGGCCAACACCACCTCCCCTGGACAGCTGGTCCTCTAGGAGGTGCCACAAAGTAAATGCCAATCAGGACCCAAATTCTGACTGGCCGTTGGCAGGACTGGCAGAGAGCCCACTTCTCCCTTTCAGGTGCTGCCTCAAGGCTGCCAATTGGGCCCACCAGGATGGCACCAATCCTTTTTCAGTCTATTGTCACAGGCCAGCAAAGAGGTAACCAGCTCACTAGCACAAGTCATTGCTCCCACGCCTCCCCCGAACCCACCCACAACCCAGCCCCGCGCCCCCCGGGGAGCTAGTTAAGCTTGCTGCAGATCTCCAGCGCTTTCTTGTAGACCTGAGTCACATCGTCCATGTCCATGAGGAGGGAGAAGCTGCTGTCTCCCAGCCGGTTCCGGTACCGCTTCAGGTACTGGGGTCGGGGCCGGTTCTGGAGCCCCTCAAAGTCCTGGATCTGGAGGAAGTTTTCAGCAGAGACGCAGCTGCGGATGCGCGGGGGGGCAGGGCGATTCTCCGGCAGATCCAGCAAGTCGAAGGAGTCGCTGGACAGGACGCTGTCGTCACTGATGACGCTGGAGGGCCGGCTGTAGCTCCGGGAGAGGCCCTCGGCGGGGGCGCCGGGCTCCAGCAAGGATTCCAGTGTGGGCATTTCAGGGCCGACGAGGGCCGGGTCCGTGGTGCCTGCTGAGTACTTGCTGCTGTGTTTCAAGATGCCCTTCCTCCGGCACGAGAGGCCGTGGGACGTCCCCCTGGTGGGGTCCGGGGGGCTGGGGGAAGGGAGGCCACTACCCAGCCCGTCGTTACTGTCCAGCAGCTCTGAAGACTCGCTGCGCTCCGGGGACGAGTAGTAACCTGACTCTCTCTGCTGGGTCTTCTTCAAGATGCCCTTCTTGGGCATCGTGGCCGACTGCTTGGGGCTGAGCTTGCCCGGCACCTCTGCCTCGGGGGGGCTTGGGAGGGGCACGGCGGTCCGGACCAAGTCGGGCTCCATCTTGAAAGCAGAGGGTAGGGCAGGGCTCACGACGCCTTCGATGAAGCCGGTGCTGTGGGAGCGATGTTCACTGTTGCTTCGCTTCTTCAGGATCCCTTTGGGCCTCTTGGAACTCAGCTTGGATGGGCTCTCGGGCACCGAGTCCTGGCCGGACTGGGCAAAATCGTTCTCTTTCTTGGACTTTTTCAGGGACCGCTGCCGCTCCAGCATGACCTCGGAGGCCCCGGGCTTGGCCAGGCCCTTGATTTTGGCTTCGGCCTCAGCCTGCAGCCCCGTGGAACGGTGGTGCCAGTCGATGATGCGAGCCAAGAGCGGCGACTCGGAGTTGTGGAGCGCATCGCAGTCACAGACGCTGCTCTTGTAGCCCCAGTTCACCCACCAGTGGTTGGCGATGTCCTCGATGGTGGCCCGGCGATCGGGGTTCACCATCAGCATCCACCGAATGAGTCCTCGGGCGTCTATGGCACAAGAGAAAAAGAACGGTGCGTCACATGGAAGCCTTTGGCCTTGACGGGGCTGACGCTGCAGGGGTGAGGGGACACGCGCACTCGGGCGGGAGATCTGGTCCTGCCACACCAGGGAGCGGGAGCCAAAGCCTTCTAGACGGTACACGGAAGGCATCATCAGGACACAACCACAGGCCAGGGCACGGTCACACCCTGGCATGTTTTTCCACAGAAGCAAAGGAATGTCCTAGAACTACTGAGCTCTCCATCAACTCAGATCTTCACTAAATGGGGAAGGCCAGGTAACTGGAACAGATTCCAGACCCGACCCCAAGCAGGGCCCCACCATTCCTTCGGTGGATATTATTTTACCAAAAGGGAAAACAGAGTGAGGTGACCCTGGCTTTTCTGTAGTCCTCCAAGGTGGGTTTGTATAAACATGCAGTGCTCAAGGTAATGGGGGAAAGTGTGTCACCATGAAAAGGACATCTAGGGCTGAGACGGTGAAAAAGAGGCTCCTTATCAAACAGGGAAAGAAAGAAGGATGGCACACATGGGCAGTGAGAGGTGCCATCCCCAAGGCTGGCCTTACCCCAGGCTTTTGCCAGGTCCTGAGACCCACGCCCAGTGAGCTCACTTCCTCTCCCTCTCTGACATAAGCTGTAGCCTACCGAGCCGTCAGCTCAGAGAGCTCATCTAGATCTGCTATCCGCTCACGGCCTGGCTGAGACATTCCATGTGCACATCTCGGCTGCCAGAGAATTAGGGGAAAGCCCCGAAGGGATGTTGAGGAGGCCACAGGAACCAACTGACTCTCACAGCTTATAAATTGACTTATAAGATTAAACTCTGCTCCCCCAATGGGAGGTGAATTATACCCTGGGAAGGCACCGCTTCCCCCTCAGCCACTTATGTGGGCTAATGAGTAGCTGGCAGGGGTCAGGCAATGAGATCAGGGGTGAGCTGCACCCCTGAAAAGTAACAGGATGTTCCTTCAGTCATTCAGTAAATATTTTCTAAATTCCTGCAATGTGCCAGGAGCTGTGTTGGTACCGGTTGGGTCACCTGAAATTTCTCAAAAAACAACAAAAACAAAACAAAACAAAACAAACAAAAAACCCAGGCTGGCCTATTGAAAAAAAAAATGTGTATGCATATACATATATATGTGTGTGTGTATATTCATTATTCACAGATTCTGTATTATAAATTCTCCTGCTCACTAAAATGTCTTTGTAGCCCCAAAATCAATACCCGGGCACTCACTCTCCCTGTCATTTGTGTCCATTTGCAAAGTGGCAAAAAATTTGAGTCACCCCCCGCGTGCATGTATGTTCCCAGCTGAGGTCGAAGGAGGGGCCGCCTCCCTGCCTTCTTGTTTCCACTCTCATGCTGTAAACAGGTGTACTTCTCACAGCCTGTATAGTCCTTGTTTTTCACACTTTTGACCTTTTTGTTGGTGATTTCACTGTGTAAAATGGCCCAAAGCACTAACTATGGTTCCTGAGTTCGAGAAGGCTGTGATGTGCCTTACAGAGAAAGTGCATGCGTTAGATAGGCTTCGTTCAGGCATGAGTCACAGTGCTGTTGGCTGTGAGTCTGATGTGAATGAGTCAACGGGATGTTTTAAATGAGGTGTCTCTGCACAGAAATATACATAACACAAGGTTCTATATTGATCAGTTGACACCAGTACTGTGACCAGAGCTCGAGCCCTGTATTTGTCCCCGGGAGCAGTGCTGTCTCAGTATTCACTCACTCCGTGCTCATAGCAACTTTGTGAACTGTAACCACCGCAAAGAATGAGAAATCAGCTGTGTGTGCGCGCGCGTGGGCAGCATGTCTACATAGGAAGGTCTGCGTTAATTACTTTCCAAAGATGACCATGTGGACACACACGTTCCATCCACACATCACACCCTCCTAGCAAGAGATGGAGCTTATGATCTCGGGTGCTTTGACCCATAGAGCGTGGCAGAAGTGACATTATCTGCCTGCCCAGCACAGAAGGCCTGGAAGCTTCTTCTTCCTCCACCTTAGAGCCCTGAGCTGCCATGGAAGAAGTCGAGGATTCCTCCTGGAGAGAGGGGCCTGGAGAGGCATCTCATGGAGAGGGACCAAGTTGATTCAGGGTGGTGGGGGAGGTCGGGGATAGAGTTGTTATAGCAATAAATATTGAATAATGAAACAGCGCCCATGGGCCATGCCCCTGGCTGGGGGCACAGTGGTGAAAAAGAGCAGTTGCCACCCTCATGGCACTGAGTCTAGTGAAGATGGTTTATATAACCACGTAGACCAGAAAGGACTTCATGTGATATCTCTTCCTAAATGTGAATTTATAGTGGAGAAACTGAATCCACATGGTAAGGGACTTACCCACGTTCACACAGCAAGCACACAGGACTCCTAGCTTGCCTGGTGTAGGGGACATTTGTTCTAGAAATTCCATTTGGGGAGGTTTGGGCAAAGCAGCCTAGCAAGCCAGCTTTGCCAGAAAGCAAAACTCCGGAGAGAAAAAGAAGAGGAAAAGGCAGGAGATTCCTTGCAGAAGTTAAAACAGAAGCAAAAAAGTGTGAGCTACACACTCAAAAAAGGGTAATAAGCCAACCACTCCAACCACTCCTGCTCAATCCCTGAGCCTCCGAGGGCACGCACCTGACGGCTGTGTAGGTTCCCGGTACTCTCCACTGCTGATCTGCCGAATGAGGTTTTTGTGATCGAAACCATCGAAGGGCATTGTTCCATAAACGAGAGTGTAAAGCAACACGCCCAGGGCCCAGCTGTCCACCTGGAGCAGAGAGACGGGACATACAGGAGCTCAGAAGCAGGTTCCGGTACGCCTTCTGATCCATTAGCATCACAGACTGTGAGCAGCCACCCCTAACGGCCCCAGCAACTGAATTTAGCACTCGGCAGACAGGTTCCCACCGCAGCCTGACAAGTGATCTGCGGTGCGGTTGTCGGCTGCTGCAGAGCCTGACCTTTCCCTCTCAGAGACCGGGAGTCCCAATCTGTGTGAGGACTTTCTTAAAAAGATTATCTCCTTGGATCCTCAGTATGATGTTGTGAAACAGGGAGAGCCTGGATTATTTTCAACCCCATCTGACAGATGGGAAGACTGAGGCGCAGGAACGCTAACTGATTTCTCCAGAGCCCCTCTCTGCCTCCAGGATGGGTGCCGGACTGGGACACGGGGCTGTTCACTCTAAATCCAGGCGCCAGTGCCTTCCTGCACCTTCTTCAAATGGATCAGGGGCTGCCAACTCAAATGCTTACAAGACCCAGGCATGCAACCAAGATGAACAAAGCAAGAGAGAATGTGGGGTACAATGTGGGAGTGCATGGATCCACCTGACGGAGGCAGCCTCCCCTTGGCTAACTGCTGCCACACAGTAACGTAGGCCCGGCACTGCCAGATCCTTTCGGGAAGTCAGAAACCAGACTTTAATGCAAAATCTCCCAATTATTGAATGTTTGGTCCGGTTTCTTTTAGAAAGACTAACGTGGCCAGATAAAGCATGTTTGCTAGCCAGATCACAGGCCGCCAGCTTAGAACTCCAGAAAGAGATCATCAAAGATCAAAGAAACATTCATTACCTATGATAAATGGAGAGTGTCAAGTTTCTAGAGTTTTGTAAATGGAATCCAATGTCCCGCCCTTACATTCTTATTTTAGAAAGACTTTCTCTTCACTGCAATTGGTAGAGGCCCTTGGCATCCTTCTCTTCACCCTCCAGCCCTGCCTTCAAACACTCTCCAACAGATAAATATTTGGAGGGAAACATTTCAACCCACTGAGCAGCTGCTATTTAAAGGATAAGGAGTGGATGAATCTCTCTGTAAAGAGAACCATCCTTTTAAAGAGCGTAATCACTCGCAACTCACCCATTTTCAAAATAGCATTTCCACATACACATCTCTTACAGTGGTCCTGAGAGCTTTAAGCATATAGAGAAGTGCATTTCTCGTGCATTAGAAGGTGCGATTAAAACTGTATTTCCTTAGCGGAGCCTGGGTGGTGCAGTCGGTTGAACACCTGCCTCTTAGTTTTGGCTCAGGTCATGATCTCCTGGGTCATGGGATCAGGTCCTGCAGAGTCTGCTTGGAATTCTCTCTCTCCCTTTCCCTCTGCCCCTCCCACCTAAGCTCCTTCTAAAATAAATTAATAAATCTTAAAAAAAAACCCTATATTTCCTTAATCAAAGGTACATGCTGTCTAAGATATATGCAAAAAGATATTCATTGCAGAGTGAGGGGTTTTTTGCTTGTTTTTTTGGTTTGTTCTAACAGGGAAAAACTGAAAACAATCTGTCTAAATCTAGGGAATTGATTAAATTATGGTATATTCATAAAATAAAACATTATATCATCCTCAGAAACCACGTTTTTTAGTAATAACAAATTCAAAATATGTCACAATATAATTTTAAGTCAATAAAAGGCCACATGCACATATGTATACACGTATATATAATGATTGCCATTATTTTTTGAAATGCAGAGATCGACACTGGAAAAAAGTCTAAAAGAAAAGTGGCAAAAATATTAAGTGGTTATCTCTTGTGGGGGAAATTGCAGGTAACCTCATTTTCTAGATTTTTCAAACTTTCTCCCAGGTGTCTATATTGTGGCTTTTATAATCATATAAGGAAAAGCTTTCCCCACTTGCTTGCCTTTTTGTTTGTTTGAAGTATTTCTTATATCCAGTTCCTGCCCTCCCTCCTCCCTTTCCTCCCCGGCCCCCACCCCCATACACCCCAGCAACTTGCTCACCTCTGGCCCCCGGTAAGGTCTCCCATTGACAATCTCAGGAGAAGCATAGAGTGGGCTCCCACAAAAGGTTTGCAAGAACTTGTCCTTCTGGTACAGGTTGGAAAGCCCAAAGTCAGCAATCTGCAAAGAGAAGCAAGACCCACAGAGGCCGTTTAGCATTCCAGGGGGTACCTACCTTGAATCATCTGAGCACTAGGGCACCTGGATGGGTCTGCCGGCTGGGTCACCATTTTTTTCTCCAGTCCTTAGTCTCCATAAAAGAACCAGTCCACCCACAGAAATGGGCCAGTGACTCCCAGCTGCAATCTTTGGCAACCACAACAGATTCTGCTGGATCTGCACGCTACATGTTCTCTTACTTACTCAAAACCGCTCCCTGCATGGACTTGACCTTCACTTCAGTTTAGACCCACTCTGAGAAACAGCCTCAGAATCACAGCCTTGATGTTTCCGACGCACAAGACAGTACACAGCTATTAATCTGGGAAGTGCCCCATCTGTAGCCCCCCTAAAATCACACTGCACCCACAGTGACTTTCAAAAAGTCACACTTTGGAAAACCGTGACCCAGTGCCACTGATACCAACCCCTTCTCATCCACCCCCACTCTACCCAGAATTCTGTTTTGCCAACCTCTTGAGCCCAGATGAAATCTAGGACCCCAGAGTCCTAGATTTTGAGTCACCATATATCAGCCCAAACTCTGTCATTAGCCATCTGTGTGACACGGAAACAGGTCCCTTAGCTACTCTGAGCCTCAGTTTGGCCACCAGAAAATGGGAACCCAGGATCCTTTCCTGTTCTGGACCGCAGTTTTAGTGTGAGAAAAAAAAAAAATCAATCACTCAAGATGAGACCATGAATGTAAACCTTTAAGTCTTCAAATTCCATACCAATGCTCTACCTAACACTGCTTCTCTTGTACTGCACACCCCTTGGAATCACTCTCTTCTCTCCTGGTTTCTTGAAGCATTTTATTCATTATCCTTTATGGCAGTACTCTTCCCTGTGTGAGTGTATGCAGGCGTGCATGTGTGCATAAGTACATATAATCACATATATACACGTCACATATATACGTATAATGTTACGTATGTACATATGCATATACGTCGCATACACACACACACACACACACACACACACACACGACACATATAAATAATAAATTCTCCTTGCCCATTAGACTGAGTCCCCTGAAGCAGGTAACATGTTCCGCATTTTCCCTCATCTCTGTGTCATCCACTGTTTAGCACCTGCCCCCGCCAAGAAATACTTGTCACTCGAACAGGCAAAATACTTTGAAAAGCACAAGACAACTAATAGAATATGCAGAAGAAGAAGAAACTTAGTCACCACTTACTGAACCACCTCCAATGATCAGGCCCTGTTCTGAGCACTTCACCCTCTCTGATCTAAGCCCATTTACACAACAATGTGAATATACTTCACGCCACTGACCTGTACAGCTAAACATGGTTAAAATGGCAAATTTCATGTTCTGGCTATTTTGCCACGATTTTTTAAGCAGACCAGGAAAGTGGGGTTTAGGGAGATGTGGTGAGGCATCTCAGGAGAGCTGACTAGCAGGCAGCAATGTAAAGCTGTGCCTCCAAACCCTCACTCCAGCCTTCTGAGACGAGCCACCATGGGCTTCTGCCATTCTCCGTGCAGATTTCCACTGGAGGCTTATAAATAGGCTGAGCAATTCACATGCCCAGCGAGCAGCCCAGCCCCGATGGCGCTGAGGCTCTGTTTTGAATGCAGCCCCAGAATAAGCCTATTTTCTAAAAGTCGTCCCTGAATGAATGAATGGAATGGCATTGAAAGCAGCTGGTGTATAACCAGCCTCAGAAAATGCATTCTCCAAGCTCGGATTGCATTTAATTGCCCGGAATTCCACTTTCTTAGCAAGGCCTCTGATTCACTTGTAGGAAGTCGGTTGGAAGCTTATGAAGCGTGCCCGTCCATCAGAAAAGGAATGGAATGGCCACAGCCCGGGAGCACGTCCCAGGGCTTTGTCCTCGGCGAGCGCAGCCAAGGCAAGGCCTCAACACTGTGCGGGGCCTGGGGGCGGGGGGAGGCATCCCCTTGCCACCCCGCAATGCGCGATGTCCGCGGCTTCCAAATACACACACCCGTGAGAGGCACCCATCGCCGCGGCGTGCAAATCCCTGCATGCACACACTCACGTCGGAGCGCTCCCAGTCCGGGCACGCTTGCTCTCTCTGCAGCCGTCCTGAGAAGCGTGTTTATGTTAGGGCCCACTCCCATCCCCACAGACTGATGTTTATTAGCCTCTCCCAGTAAAACTGTCATTTGCCACTGACAGAAGATTCATAGAAATGTAGATTAGTCTGTGTTCTTGGCACTTCAGTGGAAAAGAAATATGAATCAACACACACACACACACAGAGTTCTCAAACCTTGAACCACCTAAACTCGGGCGGCAGCTCTAAGATTTCACGCCCTGTGGAGCCTCTATCGGCCAGAAGAGCAGGAATGGCCACCGGGTATAAAAACTTCTCAAAGCCTCAATTTGTCATCTGTAAAGCGGAAGTAGGAAGCGCACTGACTGCCATAGTGTTGTAGTGAAAATTAAATGATGGAAAGTATGTAAAATGCTTGGAACAGTCACTGGCACAGAAAAACTGGCCTCGAGAAATCTTTGCTTCCCACCCTTAAATCCGTAATAGTAGCTTTATCAACCTCACGATACTCAAAACAACACTGGCTTTTCCATTTCAGGTAATTATTTTAAAGCGTCTTTCTCAAATAAATATACTTTTTAGTTTTTTTAAAGATTTTTTATTTATTTATTTGAGAGAGAGAATGAGATAGAGCATGAGATGGGGAAGGGTCAGAGGGTGAAGCAGACTCCCTGCCGAGCAGGGAGCCCGATGTGGGACTCGATCCCGGGACTCCAGGATCATGACCTGAGCCGAAGGCAGTCGCTTAACCAACTGAGCCACTCAGGTGCCCAATAAATATACTTTTTAGAAGGGAACTGCACTAAATATAAATATTAAGTAAAAGAACACAGAAGGTTTGAGGGAAAGGTGAAAGCCAAGGAGACAGTGAAAGAATAGAAATTTGGGAAATCTGAAAAAGCTGAAATTGGGGAAACAGTGATTTTAAACATAATAAAACAAAAATAACTGAACGAAAGTCATACTTTGCTGACATATAGGTAACCTCTGGAGAAAGGTAACTACTCAGCATTTTTGCTAATGATGGGATTGTCCCCTGCCTGCTACGGGCTCCCAATCATGTCCCCACACTGGGCTGATACCCCATTCAGCCTGGGCCCTGGAAAGGAATCTGAGAAGCCAACACTCAGGTCCTTCATTTTTGGAGTTTTTGTTATTACCAAGCCGTTCTGGAGGTGTGCGCTGCTGGATAAAAATCAGAGTTAGAAAGACAAAGTAGGAAGTGATTCTTCACATCTCCAAACAATTAGCCTCACTACAACACGGATGCACCATGAAGACGCCGAGCTAAGTGAAGTAAGCCAGACGCAAAAGGATAAATATTCCGTGGGTCCACTTCTCTGCGGTCCCTAAAGGGGGATTAACCTCAGATCTCTGTGAATAATCGCTGTGAGCTCACCGGATGAAAAAGGAAGTATCCGGTTGCTAGTGGGTAAACGCTGGGGGAAAGCACTCACGAGGTCGATAATGTAAGTGAAGGGCTGATGGTCTTTTGCAGTGTCTGAGAGGAAGTACAGTGGGCTGGACAGATCAGAGGAACCTGGGGCTAGCCTTGGACTTGGCCCTCCTGGGTGATGGGCGGGCCCTGCCAAGTCACTCAGTCTCCTCATCTGCAAAGTGGGAATAATCACAGAACCCACCTCAAAAGCTGTGTGGAGACTGAAGAACAGGGATGAAAAGCCCTTGGAACAGTCCCTGTACCGGCTGATTCTAGATGACAGCAATTACGACACTGCTGGTGGTTTGGTCTCTTAACAATTGTTTGCTAAGAGCCAGTGCCCACCCCAGAGCCCAGAGGAATTATCGTCACCCACTTCTGGAATAGGCATGCCCAGGGTGAGAGGCTGCACTGCACGATGGGAGAAGTAAAGGATGCGGGGTTGGAAGGTTTGGGTTCAAATCCCAGCCCCACCTCTTACCAGCACTGAACTTAGGCAGTTAATTAATCCTTCCCTGTTCCACTGAGGTCCGTGGACCAGCAGCTTCGGTACCAGCTGGGAAATGATCGACCCCAAGCCATCTGGGGAAGCTCTTCACTGAGGGCACCTCCAGGAAGGAGCCTCTCAGGGGACCCCAGTGAGCAACCTGTCACGACTCACCACTCATTCGACTCGGGCATCCCTACGTGGGTGCTCTGGCCACCACGACACAGGCAGCCTGGCCATCGGCCACCATCAGCACTTGGAGAGTCCCTCCCGGGAACGGCTGTCTGCAAGCTGCCTATAGACAAGGTAAGGCAGACTCAAGCAAGGGCCAAAAATGTGCCCTCGTGTGATGCTCTCTTAGATTTGGGGCAAATTTGGGTGGTAGCAGTAGAGGGTAGAATTTATCAGGTGCCTGGCCCTTAGAGTCGAATGGCCTTAAGTTTGCAGCCAGCCCTATTGCTAATATTAGCTGCAGGAACCTCCTCATCCATAAAATGGGGGATAATCCGACCCACCCCGGTGGAGACAGTCTGAGATCCAGATGAGATAAGGCACATGGAAGGTCTGGCATGGACTCTGGCTTCCAGCAGAGGCTCAGGAAAGGTTACTTCCATTTTCCAGCCTCCATGCCCTATTCCTGTGCTTGCTGCTCCTTCCCTGTAGAAGGCTGTCAGCACATTTCTTTCTGTCAAACTCCTACCCATCCTTCAAAACCAAGTTCAATCACCACTGCCCCAGTAAAGGCTTTTTGGTCCGTTTATAGTTCACAGACCCCCCACTTCCTGCTTAACACTTCCAGAATACTACACAGGGCACTATGAGGCAAGGCACATAGAAGGGCCATCTGGCCCTGCCGAGAAAGGAGGATCAGGGAAGGCTTCCTGGAAGAAGAGGCATTCAAGCTGAGACTGAAAGGACGGGCAGGCAAAGAGCAGTGGGAAGAGCATACCAAGCACAGGGATCCATGTGTGCAAAAGCCAGGAAGCCAAAGAGAGCTCAGTGGATTTGAGGAGTGTGAGTCCTACGCAAGTTGTTTTCTCTGACCACCCTAGCTAAAAGCTCCTGCAGGCCTCCGCCCTCACTCTGCACGGATTCTCTTCGCCACCAGACAATTACATTCTGTATTTATTTGTCTGCTGCTTGTGTCCCCAAGTGGAATTCCAAGTCCACTAAGGCAGGTACCTTATCTTCCTCACTCATCTCTATATCCTTCTCCTGGCCCCTTGTTACTGCTGGCTGAACAACTGCGAGATTCCGAGCCCCCTGACAAGGGCCTGGAACGCCAGCATCCGGCACAGGGCCAGGTGCATGGTAGGGACTTAGTAAATATCTGTGGTCGAGTACATCCTGCCCCCAGGAGATACCCAGTTTGCTGACTGCGTAAGTGCAGGAACAGAGGAGAGAATGCGGGCATGCGCGGCTACACACGTGTACACAAACACATATATAAGTGGAGGAATGAACAAACAAACCGATGGGTTAATTAACGCACGAATGCAGAGTTCTCACACGCATCTAATCAAAGCCCAGGGGCCATATCCCAAGTTGCCCTGTTTGGCCTTGTTCAGCCTCTGAGATTTCTAGCTCATCTTAGCCCCGGCCATTCAAAGCCGCTTTGCTTGTCCGCAGCAGCAGCGATTTCATTGTCATCAGGGGCAACAGGCCATTTCCCCTCTGCCCCTCGCCTCTGAGCCCTGGGAGCTCACCAAATTCCCAGCCCTCTTTGAGGAGGCGAGCTGACCCCAGGGCTTGGACCTCTTCTTATTGTAAGACATTTTTACAGGACCCTTCTATGGGAATTGTCGGCATTCCATTCTCCCAGAGAGTGGGATGTGAATCTGGCCCATTTTTATTAATTGCAAATTAATGCTATGCTGGGTGTCTATTTTCGTAGACATAGGCTTACTCCGCAGAGGCTTTAGCAGGCTTCTCCGGAGTACGGAATGCAACCCAAAGAAGCACATTGCTCTCATTCTTTCTGCCAACAGACTATGTGAATATTTTTAGAAGCCACGCCCTCTCGCCCTGGCCAGATAAATAATTTCCAATGCCAGATGTGCTCTTTGCAAATCAACATCAGGCTGAGAAGAGGGGAGGAATGAGCTACACAGCTCACACCAAACTACAGTGACATGCGGCAAGTTTAAACCAGTAGCATTTTTACAGGCCTCCCACCCTTGGAATACGGAAGATGGAACCACAGCTAGAGAGGCAGCAGAGGGGGCTCCAAGAGGGACCTGGCTACTCATAACCCGTTGCTTTCTCTGCCCGGCCCTGGAGCCAGACGCTGATGCCACAGGCTCTCCTGAACATGGAGACCAGCGTCTGGCCATGTGTCCGCTGCCTTTGCCACCAGTGCCCTTTCTAAATGTGTTTCCAGCAAAATGCTGAGTCAGGAAGAGCCGGGCAGACATAGCCGGAAGACAAATCAACACCAGCTGAAATGCATTTTTTAAAAAAATCTTGGAAGCGCGTGTGAGATGATGAAAGATAATTTGCCCAGAAGTCAAACATGGGAGTTCTCCTGGCTGTCATCCCTTCACCCCAAACCCAAACAACTTAAGGGTACCTACTGTGTGGCAAGCACTGGGCCACACTCCAAGGAAACAGAGACACAGTAAGCCCACACTGATTCCCTGCGCATGACCTTGGGCCTGTCACCTAGACCTACAGGGCCTTCATCATTTGAACAAGGGGGCTGGAAAATGACACTCAGCGTTCATCAGGCTCTAGGATTCTCAGATCCTAGCAGCATTCCTTGAACAAGCAAAAGGAAGAACCCGTGTTGGGGAATGGGAAGGTTTGGTTTCTGTGTGTGTGTGTGTGTGCACACATGTGTGCGTTTTACCTTGGGAAATGCCAGGAGAAGAGAGTCTTAAGGAAAAGACAAGGAGGAAAAAAAAAAAAAAACCATGAGTGAAAGTTCAATTTTTATAATGTTCTGTGTGTCTGCTATTTATCTATACAACGGACAGGGAGCGCAGATGGAAGGACGTGGTCCTGGGAGCTGGGAGGCCCAACACCACTACCCCATTGCTCATTCAAATGCGCCATTCCCCAGGGCTCCTGCGGCATTGTTCCCAGCACAATTGCTTTCAGAATTCTAACTATTCTTCTCCTCCATTGGGAAATTCTATGACTCCATAGGAAGCTATGTGCCTTATCACTTCTGGGACTACATCATGGGACCAAGAGGTCACACTGTCCCACAGAACCCAATCCCCAAGCCAGAGGCTCACATTCCAGGCCTTGTAAAGACTACATTTCGTTTGCAGAGCTCCGGAGGCAGGTGGCAGAAAGAATCTGCAGAGAAAGTTACCAGGGTGGATGACACAAACCCTTAGAAATGTGCCCCTCAGACCAGCACCCAGTTCTCTAGTTGTGGCCTGGCCACCACTCCCGAGGACCCAGGCACCTTCACGACAGCTGACGCCCTGTTCAGAGTCCTCTCTGGTGACCAACTATTGGCACAGGTGCCTTGGATACTGAGAGTTGAGTGCTAAGTGCTCTGTGTACTAAAATCCTCACATTTGCCCTTGATTCCCTAGGCACCCCGGGCACAGGGCACGCACACATAACTGCTCAGGAAATACTCACTGAGAAAATGGATGAACAGACAACCACCCCCAGAGTTAGGACTGGCATCCCTACTAGACACACCAGAAAACTGAGACTTAGGGGATTCATTTCTCCAAAACACTGCCATTAGTCAGGGACAGAGTCGCGATTCAAATTCAAATCGCAGGCTACCCAACTCCAAAGCCACCGCTCTTGATCTTGACTCAACTGCCCAGTGCTCAGCAGTGTATGAAGCTAAACACAGGGTATCTTGTTTAGTCCTGAACACAAGCCTGTGAGCATCACTGTTACCCCATTTTATAGTCGCAGAAACAGGATGAAGTGGGTTTCCCCATGGCAAGCAGCTAGGAAGCCACACCGGAGGGAATTTTTTGACTGGACAGCCAGTGCTCCTGCTAGAATAATCCAGAAAGGGAGAGACCTTGAGATCTCACTTCCTGATCCTAGGAAAAACTGCTTTGACCAACTGCTTCCTCCGTATTCTATGGACTAACACAGAAAGAGGTCAACGACTCGCAAAAACAAGAGGTCATCCTCACATGACTTCGAGGATCCTCTCAAAGGACTATGGTAACTAATGGTGGCCGCCACGATCTGCAAACAGTGTTAATCCAAACTCGGAGCAAGGCAACAGTCTCCCTGTGATGCGCCCCACCCCCTCCACTGAGCGCAAGAGCAACCAGGAAAGGGGGCGACGCAAGGTCGTTCCCATGCTTTGTCCGGGGACCAGGGATGAGGCACTAACGTCACCGGCGGCCAATTAGAGGGATCCCCTGGTGTCAGGAGTACCGAGGCCATTTCATAATGAAACCCATGCAGCGAACTCCGTTTATTTTGAAACCGTATTTGCTTATTTTGCAGCTGTGATCAAAAGGACATTGAGAATGCTCCGCAGGAGGCGCTTGAACCCCGTGGGCCAGGAGAGCTTGCTTCAACTGCAGCGGCAGCCAGCAAAAACACTCTCCGTGGCAGTAAACCCCCTCACCGGACGGTCTGCTCCTTTCCCAGCAGCACATACCACCATAGCCCGCTGCCCAGTTCCACAGCTGGTTCGGGGGCTGGGAGGGTCGGGAGAGAGAAGGAGAAGGCATGGCACGGCGGGGACAGAAGGGTGGCGGGCGGAGAATTCCAACTCTTACATAACCTGGGGCCCTGCTGGCAACTCAAGCCCTGGGGAGTCAGACACACACAGGCTCAAACCCCAACTCCACTTACTTACCGCTGCGTTACCTCGGGTTGATTACTTAACTTCTCTGTGCCTTGCTTTCCCTATCTGCGAAATGATGTCAATAACGGCACCCACCTCATAGGGTTGTGAAAATTAAAGGTAAGCGATAGCAGGAAAACATGACAGGACATACACACGCAATGTGTTACGGTCGTAGGTGTTTTCACAGTGACGATTGCAAACTATGAGCTTCCTGAGGACAGGGACTGTATTTTAATCATCTTTTTCTCCCAGCATGAAGATCGAGGTCTGGCATGTAGTTGGAGATCGATAAATGCTGGTCGAATTGAAGGGTTGGAACAGAACTGAGGTGACTCCCCGCACCCGCCGGCCAGGGCAGGACGCAGCCGCCTGGCTCCGAGGCTGCAGCCTGGGGCACCTTGAGCAGCCCCCTTCCCCACCCTGCGTATCAATCCACCAGGCAAGAGCTTTACCTTAATATTGCAGTTGTCATCCAGCAGGATGTTTTCCAGCTTCAAGTCCCGGTGGACCACGCCATTCTGCAATGAGAAGACAGGCGCAGACGTGAATGGGGCAGCCAGCACGAGAGACAGAACGAGGGAGCGGGAGGGTGAGCAAAGGGAGACATTTGACAGATGAAAGAAATGCGCCAGCCCCGGTGGTCTTTGCCTCCAACCTTCAGGGCTTCTCTCACTGTCATGAGGCCCCCGCCAGCCAGCGACCAGCGACAGGAGAGCATTAGTCACTTGCTGGGCGGTGAAGGGAAAAATGACTGGAATCCATTCTCCCCCAGAGCCTGTAAAACAGCAGGGGGATTCTTGGTCGGAATGTAATTCCACTGTGTGAAAGCAATAGAGTCGCGGGCGGCGAACAATGTCTGTCTGTGCTGGGCTTCTCAGGGAAGAAGCAGATTTCTCTGCTGGAGACTCAGAATGTGGGCCTCGCTTGTCTGTCTGTCTGTCTGCGGGCCTGCCCCTCTCCCCCAGGATAGCAGAAGCCCCCCCACGGGCATTTCCTGAGCGGCTGGGAGGGAAGTTCTGCAAGACCCTCTGGGCTCAGCTAGACTCAAGGGCGAAGGGTGAAGGTGGGAGGGGCCCAGGAGACCCCAGACACTGGGCTGACCCAAGCAGGTCGCTGCCCTACCGTGTGACCTTTCCGTTCAAGCAAACTCTGGCAAGGCTGGAGGCTGGCCTGCACTGACGGGCAGACAGCCCCGCTGAGGCTGGAAAGGAGTCATTAACCAGTAGGCTGCTGGTCTATCCCGCAGTAACACCTGATATGCACAGTCCTTTGTAAAGCCCAGTGATCTTTTAATGGGATGCGGGGAGGGCATGGGCAGAGGTGGAACAGAAAGAACCAGCTACTTTGGGCTGGGCGGACAAATAGCAAGGAGTAAGTTTTTCATATCGTTCAGCATAAAGGACATTTGCGATTGAAGCTCCTCTTTTAAGCAAACCAACTGGCTAGAACATCTCTGTCTTTCGATCAAGATTTCTTTAGTTCAGAATCGGCATGTTTATTACAGTTGGTGCTTTATTGTTTATTTTCCTTTCCATTTGACAGTCCTTACTACCTCCAAAAGCACAGGCTGAGGAGATAAAAGCTATATTTCTACTCCTCTTTTTCTAACGCAAACCTTCCAGGATGTGTTTTGACTTCAGAAAGGCACAAACCAAGGCTCCCGGAGGAAAGATACAGAATCTAAGGTCCCCGATTTTTTTCTCATTTTAAAGACTGGGAGCAGTTTTGGTTTATATTATTGCATTCCTAGTTTTCAGAGTAAGACGGAATGAGTCTGACAAAGCGCCATTCATACAAAATCTCAAGTACTCACACATCTCAAATAATGAAAATATGATCTGTAGTCCTTTATGATGACGCCTGATGATAAAGTAAAAAATACTGTATGATCTGAGTAATCAGTGCCTTTTGAGTCCGCAAAGAGAAGTCCAACAGTGTTCGCATGGGTTAAAAGTTTTAGATTTGAATAATATCTTCTAGTTACTTATGGAGCCGCTCTCAATTAACCGGAATATTTAACAAACCAGAAGGCCCCGTGTTGCAATCATTTGAACAAAGAAGCTAGCTCTATTTTGGATGTCATGTTCGACTCAAGTCACTACTGTCCTCAAAGTGAAAGACTGTTCCAGGTGTGACCATTCTGGGGGAAAGTGCGAATACAATGGGAATCATGACTAACATGATTAATAATGATGAAGGCTGAAATACATCTTGGAAGTAGCTGTGTACTTCATTTCCTTCTCCAGAGACAAAGGGTGGCTAACCTGACTGTATTGGGAGCACAACCCATTAGGTGTGTTGCAATAAAATGTATGTGTAGGTACGTAACCTATGTGGATATGACCTATGCAAGGAAAGATACTGAGAGCACAGGAAAGTTCACAGCCAGTAACTTCACTTCTGGATTTTCCCTCAGGTGAATCAAATGAGAAAAGGTTAACATATAAAGATGTGGATCCCTATATATATTAACCAGAAATAGGAACCAGCCTTAAATGTCCAACAATCACAATAATTACAGAGAATTTTTAGTAACATAGGAACGTGTTCTGATTAAAATACTAAGCGGCAAGGCAAGACACAAATGTAAAAATACACGCACTGTTGTACTCCGAATCCCGAAAAGGAGGAAGAAGGTCATTGGCAGAGAAACTAGGGAAATCTAAATAAAATCTGGAGTTTTGTTAACAACAGCGCCCAAATGTTGGTGTCTTGGTTTCAACAAATGTACTGATAGTAACATAAGCTCTTCCCATTAGGATAAAGTGAGGGAGGGGCATACGAGAACTCTCTGTACCAGCTTGGAAACTTCACTGTACATCTAAAATCATTCAAAATAAGAAGTTCAAATTAAAAAAAATGTTAGGAGTAGGAGGAAGAAGATGGGAAAGAAACGAACAAAAATGTCAATCATGGGTTTTGCCTGGATTCTGGAATTCTGGGTGATGGTGATTTTCTTCTATTTCATAAATTCTCCATGCAGATGACAGTAAACAGGTATCGCCTGCATACTGTGAAAACATTCACATGAGCATCAAAACCGTCGGTGCCCCGAGCTCTGGCGGGGCTCGGCCATACCTTGTGACAATAGTGCACAGCAGAGACAATCTGCCGGAAGAAGTGTCTGGTCTCCCTCTCGCTGAGGCGTCTCCGCTCGCTGATGTAATCATATAGCTCGCCCTTGCTTGCGTACTCCATGATGATCACAATCTTATCTTTGTTCTCAAACACTGCGGGGGGGACAGCAACACACAAACACCCTGTTTATCCAACAAGCTCACTTATGACTCCAGAGGGTGCGAGGGAGGACAACGGAGATGTCACTGAGCCGGGGGCCAAGAGCAACCGGTCAGGACACAAGTCAGGCCGGTCCACGTCACGAGGAGCTGGGCGAGAGTGTTCCGGCCAGGTGGACAATGACATCACCGCTCTTGTGACCGGACACACCTCTGCAACCTGAAGGGAAAGGTGCCTCTCTTTTCCGAGGGCTCCCCCCCCCCCGCCCTTCACCAGGCTCGTTCTCCAAAGCCCCGCCCACCAGAACGCCGCCCCCAGCCACAGGACAGTGCAGGATAACACCTACCTTCTATGAACCATTCGATATGGACCTCACAAGCTACTCTGAACCCAAAAATGGGTAGCTGGACTTGTCACCTCTTTGCTCAAAACCTTCTAGACTTTCCATCTCACTCAAAATAAAACCCAGTGTTCCAAATTGGCCCAGCAGGTCCTGTGTGATCCCATGGATCCATCCTAGCCCGCTTCTGTGTTATTCTGTGTATTAATTTAGTTCTTCTCGCTTACTAGAGTGTAAATGGGGGTTGGTCTATTTCATTCACGGATGCCTCCCCAGCACTCAGAACGCTGACCGAGGGGCTCAAGTCACAATTATCAAATGAGTGAACTCAAAACTTCCTAAGTACATTCGGACAATTACAGGAAATAATTACTATGTGCCAGGCTCCTGTAAGGTTTTGAGTACCTGACATGTACTGACTCATTTAGATCTTGCAACAAACTTTCAGGGAAATACCACTAATTTTACCACTAGTAAAATGGGGACACTGAAGCCTGGAGAAGTTAAGAGACTTGCCCAGTGTGGCTGAGCCCTCCAGACTGGACGGGGCTCATCTCCGGCTTCCAGCGTGGATGGGGACCTGTGATGCCACAGCCTCGTGGCATGTGAGGACCACTGCAATCACCCCAAGCTGGGCTCCCTGCCTCGGCCCCTTCCCACGCAACCCCCACACCACCATGGAAATTGTTTTCCCAAATGCCTGTAAATCCTTCTCTCTCACCGACTCTGACACTCTAGCCGTGATGCTCACATTCGGCTGGACTAAGTCCGTGGGAGGAAGAGCCAGGCAGATGCCCATAGGGGCGGGTTCGGGGAGGCCACAGAGCACAGGTGCTAGCTAGGTCCTCAGCATCCCTTCCACCAAAGCCACCCCATTGCTATCCATTTCCTACTTTGGGCTTTCACACAGATGTCCTTTGAGCAAAGAGAAAATAAATAATTATTTTGAAACCCATCCCTCCCAAGGGACATGGCATAAAAACCTTTGTAGGATATCCAAGATCCTTCCTAAAGAATCCCTGCCTAATATTATG